CATCACACGCCTGCATGTCTGGATCTGGTCAATCACTAGTATTGTGGTGCACTTCAACACAAAGGATATGGACAAAATTGATAGATTATAAGTGACCAGACATTGCACCTATACTCCTAAATGGACCATTTATCTGATGACGACCAATGATATTATTGTCCACTTAAATTAAGCAGCGATATCTACAGACAACCTATTAAATGGTTCAATTTTAGATGCACTAGAACGTCTTTCCTACTTCCCGATATACCCCAGTAATCAAGAGATTCCAAAGAACTCCTTACTTTAGGTGAGTATTCAGTTATTAAGAGAGAAGTTAGATATAGAAATGCATATGTTGTATCTCAGGTCGGATGTTTTCCAATCACACATAGGGAACAATATATGTATAACATACATAGATGATTAGGGAGATAGTAGGGTGCATATGTTGTGTCCCAGGTCGGATCTTGCAATCACGCAGAGGGGCAACATATGGCTAACAAATAGAAAGAATTACATAGATAAGAAGATGCATAGAAATAGAGTTTCATATGTTGCATTCCAGGTCGGATATGTTCCAATCGCGCAAAGGAGGCAACATATGACTGATAGATAAAAAGCAAGAAAATAATTTCCTATAGACCTTCTTTATCAGAACCCCTCAGTTGCCCTATCAGTACTGGAATTAAGGACATAAGTCCGTACATTGAGGAAATTTTAAGCCACAATTCTAGATAATTAACTTTTAGTGTATCTCACAGGTTCCCATTTTTATCTCACTGCTCAATCTACCCGAGCGTCGTATTGTCAGTCCAAAGGAAACTATCTAAGTCCATACTATCAAGTCCTTTCATTTATCAATCTAAGTTTAGTCCTTTTGAACACTTCGTGCCTACTAGCACATTAAACACAGAGTCTAAACAATTCGGTTTTAGTGCATTACACAAATTTCAGATTGCCCTTTAACACTAAGCTTCATATCACTTCCCAAACAACACCTACAAATGAAAAACTATACGAAAATAAAAGATTGTCTTCAAAACGAATCATTTTAAGAAAAAACCAGGGGTATCAAGAAGAAAACTCAAATCGTAAATCACCAATTGAATTTGCATTCAGAAGGTCTGAGAACAGCACACATATTTCAATCTCAGAACAGATCCGAAAATTATTCACACCGTTAAGAATAAACCCCATATGTGATCCTCTTCTTTCTTCCTTTCCCACAAAGGACACATACTCTCAAACAAAGTTCTGAATGTTGTACAATTGAGAGATGTCCCATATCATGTGTCTGTAAAACCACTATCAACAAACCAAAGTGTGATGATATGCCTCCATAGCTGCTCCAACACAAAGTCTAGGATTAGTTGGTCTTTGGAACCCAATCTTTTTGAAATTGGGTTGACCTTTTTCATCAACGCAAGGTACTCTCTCCCATGACATATCATATTTATCACAAACAGAAGATGAAGAAATGTTAGAATCACTAGGTGATTTAGGACTATGAACCTTTGGTACCCATATGTAGTTAGGTTTAACCCATTTCTTATTCGTTCGGATGGATGCCTCATCATTTGATTTTGAACTTGAAGCCGATCTCCGAGATGAATTTGACCTAACCGATCTTGGTTTCAGTGGAACATCTCTTGAATTTGGCTTCTTGGTCAGCATTCCCTTCTTGATCTTGGGAGTTGGATTCTTGGCGTTTTTTTTTTTATTCCAGTCACCATTTTGCGATTGTGACCTCGAAGGGTTTCCTTTGGAATATCTCCCTCTTGGTTCATTCTGACAACCTTGTGCATAGTAGGGAACATATGCATGATTTGTACAATTTTTTGCACTGTGTCTAGGTGTTCCACAATGAAAACATGTTTGTTTCTTCACGTAGGAGTTATTTATTCCTGCCCCTGGTGGCGTACCCTTGCCTCATTTCTGATTGTTCCTACATGCACACATACAACAAGTCGTCAATTTCGCTTAATTTGGAGGCCTGTATTTACCAACAACAGGTTGATTAGAAGTGACTGAGTTAGAAGCAAAAAATTCAAAGTTCAAGGAGTTAATGGTTTGACAGTAAACAAAATTTGTAGAACTAGAATTAGTTCTGTTCTCCTTGTCCTCAGCCTCCACTACTTTACCTACACATGAAATAGAATCATTAGAATCCTTTATCTCCATACCCTCAATTGGCCCTGATTGTTCAGTCTTAACTGAAGCTGGTATAAGGGATTGGCCATACTGAGCAGGTATTTCTTCCTCGTTGGTCTCAAGGGGTCGGTTATAGTTGTCATTAAAAGGATGTGGCACACTATGATACCCTAGACCCTTTGTTTGATTATCTTTACATGTTAATTGTTTTTCTATCATGGATGCAACTACCTCACTTGACACATCAAATTTCTTAAAGTTAAATTCAACATCTTTATATTTAGCTTTTAATGCATCAAGTTCGGTAGTCAATTTAGCAAGTTGTTCCTTAACATATTTATAAGTCTCACACTTGTTGCTATATTCTTCCTGAAGTTTTCTAAAGTCATTGGTTTTGGCCTCAAGTTGTGCTTTTAAGGGGTTTTGAACTTTCCCAATGGTATATCATTCATATTTAAGGTCCTCATTTTCAGTTTTTAATAAATCTATTTGATCACGGAGAAAATTAATAATAGCTTCAAAAGATTGAGAACATGGAGTTTCATCAACCTTGGTGTTTGAATAACTCATTTTCTATCAAAAATTCCCTTTGACTTAAAACCTTGAAAGTCAAATTTAAAAAGTCAAACTTATAAGTCAAACCGAAAAACCAATTGTGAAAACTTGAAAGTTAAACAAAAAAGTCAAAGTTTAAAGTCAAAGGTCAAACTTGAAAGTCAAATTCAATTTTTAAGGTGAAAAGTCAAATTAGGATGTCAAAAATTAAAAATCAAAGCTTAGGGCCGAAAACGAAACTTTAAAAAAAATCGAAAAATATATTTTTGGGCCAAAAATCTCAAAATTCCGAAATTAGGGCCGAAAATGCGAAGCTACTTGCTGGATCGAGAACTTTCGCAGGTAACGTCTGCTGGCCGAACACATGGATTGAACACGCCTTCTGACCGAACACGCGAGGACCGAAAACTTGCAAGCCGCTCCACCGAAAGCTCGGACTCCGCTCCAATGAGAATTGTTTCCGACCGAAGACTGTTTCCAACTGAGAACTTGCTTACTGAACACGTGCGCAACCGATAACCTCGTACCTGCTCCATTGAGAACACTCATTTTTGATCGAGAACTCCTCGGTTTCACCTTGCCCTTGCAGATTTCCCAAGAAAAACACGTTTTTTCAGCTTTTTAGCTCAAAAACTCGATCAAAAAGTCATTTTTATGAAGAACACGAAGAACAAACTCCTAATATTTTGTCCAGAACTATCCAAAAATGCCTAATCCTTCAAGAAAAAAAATCCAAAAATGTTCAAGAGCTTGCTAGAATGATTGATACGATCCAAGCTCTAATACCAATTGTATGTCCCTAAATTCGCTTGACGTATCAATCCGATCCACTTGATGGTGCAGAAGCCCAATCAAGTGGATGATGCAAGATAAAATGGAGAAGAAGAAGAATAATAACTTGATTAATCTTCAATGTATTCAATAATATAAATGATGAACAACACAAGATCCAAAACACACACAAGTTCTCTCTCTAACTTTCTCTTTACATATGCTCCTCCAAATGGTCCCTTCCCTTGTCCAATACGGCCAAATTTTTGACACCCCCTAAACAATCATCCTTAATGACTATTTATACCTATGGACTAACACCCAAGACCCAAAACCAAAGGCTAGACCGAAAACCTATTAGTTTTCGGTCCAAGCTACAATTAAACCCAAGATGGTTTTCTGTTCAAGACCGAAAACTACAAATGCCTAGAAAAGCAAAGTACAAACCATATTTTAGACCCAACATAAAGTTTCCAACTTTACTTTCAAGTATGCTTAGAAGAGACTCAAATGTCCAAAAGAAGCCATAAGATGGACTTAATGCATGCATGTAGCTCTTAAGACCATAAAGTTGGCACCTTTATGCTAAAAGAGCACAAGAGGACCATAGATCTGGAAGGATAGCACTTGGGACGACCTTTAACCCCACTAATCACCCAAACATAGCTAAAAAGCATCATAACTAACCCAAAAGAGGTCTAATCAAATATTGAGCAAGGTTAGAACTTTATACCAGATATATGTTGGAAATGGTGCAAAGAATTAATATCTTGTAGGCTCAAACTTGAATCACCACGTTACACCAAGCTCCTCTTTTTTCCAAGTGCTTCAAACAAACTAAAATATACTCTCAAAGGGCTCACAACACTCAAAAAGGATTTTGGGTTTCGAGATTAGGGTTTGGGACTATGGAGTGAAGCCAACACATGGGACTTAAGGTGTTTAAATAAGGTGCAAAACCCTAAAATTAGGGTTTCCTCCTGAGCAGCCAACTCGTAGAGTTGCCTCATGAAACCCCGCAGTCCAGACAACTTTTACTCGACGAGTTTTAGGCTTCCAACTCATCAAATTCCTCAAGGAAAACATAATAATTGCTAAGATAAATTCATACCGGGAACTAGGCATCACACGACACCACATCGTGGTTATTGTGACCATGTGTAGAAATGTGAAAATATTGCTTTTCATCAACACATTTCTTCAATAAATTGGTCACGAATGATGATATGAACTTCTGGAAATGTTATTCATCAGCTCGGGTGATCAAATTAACGCTCTATACGCTGAAAATTGTCTCTCTCTTCGCATTCCTAACCCCTTACTTAAATTCATCAAAGTCTCTTGAAATATACTCCTCTCATCAAACTTGAACTTCTAGGAAATCTAGAGACAACAAACAGTAATAACAAGGAAAAAATTAAAATAAAGCACTTAAATCCTAAAATTACCATCATCCTAGAAAATAGAAAATAAAACAAACCAAACATAAACACATAAAAATAACATTGTCTTAAATCCACTCAAACAAAAAAAAGGATAATTCACTTATCATCATTTCCTCCTCCACTTCTGTCGGATCCTCCATGTTGTTCTGTCCAATGCTCGTCCCATGTCGGGATATACAGGCATAAGACCAGAGACTCACTTTGGCATTGGATGTTCAAGTTTTGTATCATGAGATCTAGATGCATATTGGTGTAATTAACACCTCTTCCTATGTTGTCTTGATAACATCGCAAGGCAACATTATAAGGATCCATCGGTAACTCATCCTCGGTAGGAATCACGGGTGGTTCTTCTTCTGCGTCATCGGGCCTTTGTCTCACTCTCCTTCCTGCTCAGTCTCTTGGATTGTCATTCAGAATGGAGAAGTTTCCAAACCCATTGTACACCACAATATTGGATCGTTTGTATATAATTGGACTAAAAGGTTTACAATTTTCCACCATTAACATAAAAGCTTCCCGTTTTTGGAGAACCTCAAACAACCTCGCTAATCTTGTGATCAACATTCCACCATACAACGGTGACCCCCAACAATCCTTTCCTGCTCGGTTTGTAAGAAAATCAGCCACATACCAAGGAACATTAATAAGAACTCCCGTAGAAATGAGGCTCCATAGATAAAAGACATCCAGAATTGGGACCTTGTCCCCCTCCTACCTTTTTTTGATGGTATTTGTATTTAATCGGTGCAAAAGGTGATGGAGAGGAGACTGGATTTCACTTCCCTGGGCTGTCCTTGATTGGTATACTCCATTGGCGATACTGAGCCAATAATTGGCTTCCTTGAACTTGTCATTTGGAGTGAGACATTGAGCTATAAACTCAATGTATTATTCAGTGTGTACTTCGGTTGGTAAATAGATCTTCATCCTCATAGCAAAGTCCACCAAACTCAATTCTCTTCTTTCTCCACCCAAGCAAAAAATGATGTTTTTTTTATCATGGATGCCTTTTTTCTTGCGGAAATGCATAGTAACCATAAATTTCGCACATAATTCCTTCTACACAGGTTATTGAATGTGGAAAAGGCGTCTCCAAGCCATACAAATAAAACAGCCTTGTACCCCGTCAAAAGACTTTGTTAGATAATGTTTAAGTTCCTCCGACATGCCAACCTCTTCCATCCAACTCCAGTTAATTTCCGTAGGTATGTGCACTTTCCTTTCTTTTAACCAAGCTAACTTCTCATTCCATTGAAACATAACCTCAGGAGCTACCATATTTGGGAAAAAGTACCATGGGAAATCAAGACGACCCCCATGTGGTTCATTTTGGTGACCCTACCCTACATGATCTGCAAAAGAAACATAGAACACCATTCCAAACAACCAATTGAGAATTAGGAAGAAAAACAGTTAAGATAGGCCGAATAAGAGCGAACAAAATCAGACTATTTTAACTCAAATATTTATATATATGTATAAGAGCAATTCCAAGTTAAACCCTTAGAATTTTAAAAGTTCAAATTCAACCCTTATACTTTATCATATTATAAGTTGATAATATTTATATATATGTATAAGAGCAATTCATCTTACCATTAGTAGCCCTCATTCACGAAGCCGGTCTATAAGAGGGGTATAAGGTTACTGCCTATAAAATGGCAGTTTAATGGGTGTCTACTCTCACCCACCGCTTCCTTGACTGGTGGAGTGTCGTTAGCCGAACAGGTAAGACAAGGACTATAATTCTCCCTTCATTAAAAGTATTAATGATAAATATAAAGTAACTAAATATTTTTATAATTCCCAATCTTAGTTACTTTAGGAAAATGTGAATAAGGTGCTAATCCATGAAATTACACTTTGCACTTTCTTTAAGTCGGTTAGTGGAGCGTGTGTGGTTAACCGACACACTAACACGTATTTAACAAGGTAGGAAAAGGGTAACTTAATGTTTATCATAGTATCGATGGAGCGTGTGTGGTTAACCGGCACATGGATTGAGGGGTAAACACTTAAGAGTACCAAGTAATTTTCATGGTTACTTCACACCTTGTTTTGTGATCCTCGACATCCCAATCACAAAACCTGGAGGGCACACTCGAGATTGAAACATGTCATTGAACAGTTCAATGAATATCAAAAGATCTAGGAGTTTCAAATCTAATAAAAAAACCTAATAAATTATTTCGTTTTTTCATGGTGGAAATTGGTGAATCGTTATTCATCTACCTTCAAATATTCTATAGCTTGGATTACGACATCCCTCTTCCGAGTTATAAAATTTTGTGTTGGGTCCTAGCTTTAATATTTCGTATTGGTGTTATATTAAGGACTTTAGATCAACTATCTTGAATATATCCCAAAAGATGTCTAGTTCAGACATCTATGATCTTCTCAAATTTGTTGGAACTTCACCTCCTCCAATTACTCTCCCTAACCCACAAGTTCAAGGTCACTCAAGCCCTAATGGCAAGCAAGATCTATGTGTGCTTACATCTTAGAGATGAAGTCACATATTGACAAGCTGGAAGAGTTGGGTGTCAAAGTCTTGAGAAAGTTAGTGGTTCAATCACTTTCTAAGTCACATAGTGAGTTCCTTTGGGACTCCTATGAAACAGACTATGACAAGACCCTTAATGATCTTATTTATTTGTTTGGTGCTGCTGAATCAGCAATGATTTGGAAGGCTAGTAAAGCAAATTTGATTAGAAGATCGACTTCCCAAAACTTTATGGACATTGACAATGGTAACACTGGAAATACAGAAAAAGCATTCTCTTCCCACGGAAAGGGATTGACCATAGTTAACTGGGTTGACCAAATGGTAAAGAGAAAAACTAAGTCTGTGATAGTACCATGTACCATTACCAAAGCGTCCATATGTTAAATTGCCAAAAGAAGGGGCATTGATTACGAACCTGCCAAATTTACCTAAGGATGTTCAAGTCAATAAGTTTGACTCTACTTCAGGTAAAGTCCATTGTCTGACTTTGTTATAAGAATCAAAGAAAAGAGAGAAAGATTAAAGGAAGTATATGATGATTCTAATCGTGAAGATGGATTTCGATCACATCAGAATTTTGAGCTGTTACTTAGGAGTTATGACACATTGCTTAGGAATAGATAACAACAAGGTTTTCATATGGGTTGTAAGGATGAGTTTTTTCGCAAAGTTTTAAAATAAACGGAAATTTTTTATTTTATTTATTTTAAGTATCCTTACAATGACATTTGTGAAATATTGTTGTTTATATGATTCCATTGATAGCAATATTCAAAAGTGGATTTGATTCTTTCATTTATGGTAGTGTCTAAATTTACCAAACAATGAAAGATTCTCATCACCCAAGTTTTAGTTGGATAGAAACTTGGAATCATGCAAGTTGTATGATGAATGAGAATTTTCATCTTTGGAAAATTAAGACTAATTCCTTGTTCACATGTTTAAGTGAATAGAGTGAAGGACTAAGGGATCAAGTACACATTATTGTGCACTGATCAAGTCCACCACAAAAGATCTATAAGACTATTCATCATGATTTACTAAAGTTTAGTAAATATGGATACATTTACAAGTTTAAGTGTAATTCTGATACATCGGAAAATTTACGATGTATGGTAGAACGAACGAAAAGAATCAAATTAAGTAGGAAGGATGAAAGTTTCTCAAATCTGAAAACATGGGAGAGTACTTTAGTATCATGTTATATAACCATCTTAATGATTAAGAGACCTTATCACAGTTCATCCTCTAAGTGCATTCTGATAGCTAAGAAGAGGAGATATGAATTGTTGATGTGGTCAAATCAAGAATATGATTCATACCTCGTTCCAAAAAACAATTCTTAGAGTCATACTCCAAGATTGTAACTGGAGTGACATATCTTAAAGAAAGGTTTATTAACACTAGTCAAATGTAAGAGTAAAAGTATCCTACTCTTGTACATTTGTAATTGGTAAGTTGTGATGTTTTGGATAAAACAAAGACCAACTAAGACCAATTGCATGAAGTGTTTGTCTTGATAGAGAATCCGCACTATCTCTTGAATATTTGGAAACCAAGTCTTATATGTCAAGAGAACAGTGAGAATCTTAAAAATCCTGAAAGAGTTTCAAGAATCAAGAATGAAACCTATAGTTTATCACTAGCACACGACGTGAGGTTTATAACCTATCGTGTTTACATATTCCAATTTCTATGCCCATTCCAGTAAAAGTTGGATTTGCATATGAGTTCTTAGACTTCTCAATTGGTTGCATACCAACTTGGAAGCAATGGCAGTCCCTTGAGCTGCCAGGTGGCCAGAAATTAAGATTGAGTTCAGTCCATATGTGTTTGGATTTGTCATTATCCTTGTCTTGTGACTAAGGTGTTGACAATTCACATGGATAAGAACACATACACCATAAAATCTAAGGGTCATAAGGTTTCTTTCCGATTCATGAAAATGATGGTGAGGAAACACTTCCACCAAGTAGATTTTAAGTAGATAGCAATCTTTGCATTCTCAAAGTCGTTAGTAGAGCACACTAACATGAAATTATGAGAAATAGCAAAGGTCTAAACAATTGAGACTATGATTACAACATCCTTTTTCATAGTTCTGAAATTGTTTAGACACACCTGTGAGCTATTTATGATAAGGTGTATAATTTTGATAAAGCCTTATTAGAGCAATCTAGTATCAGAAATCTGAACTAGTATTGATTTCTAGAAGTACAGTAATTTCTGGATGCATGTCAAAGCTAGTAGGAGCATAAGTGTTATGCTGATAATCATCATGTTAGTGGGAGCATGATAATTATGATAAGTATTGCATATTAACAATGTTAATTATAAAAAACAAAAGTTTCAATTCGTGAGGTTGAAGAGGTTGAAAAAGTTGTTTTGCTATAATTAACGGAGATGATATTATACTTCATGTCAATTATAAAAGGCCTAGAGTGACGTTTTAAGCTTAGATTGAGATTTCAATCATCTTTAGTCAAGAATATATATATATATATATATATATATATATATATATATATATATATATATATATATATATATATATATGAATTTCATGTTGGATTGGTTCAATATAAGGAAATTCTATATATTGCATTCTCAAAATTCTATTATGATTACGACATCCCTCTTCATAGACAAATTTTGAGAACATGGAAAATAAAAAAATATTGTAGCAAAAGACTAGTCTAGAATCATGTCTTTATGTGAGACATCATGAATCATGTCCCATTTGCGTTGGGTACAGGATCAATTACATGTGCTATAACATTTATTCTTTCTAAATTTCCAAATGCCTGGGGCATTAAGTGGGGAAAAAGTCTAGAATTGGATTTGACTAAAGTGATTAAGAAATTGTCAAGGACAATCTAAGGTTTTACCAAGGATTGGTTGCTCAAGGATAATTGGAAGTATAGTGTTGACTTTAGAAGGACCATATTGACCTAATCTGAAAAGAGGCAACTATTGTTTAGAAGGGATAGTCAATATGGGAATATGGAGTTTTGGAAGTTATCTGTGTAAGATTAGGAAATTTAATGCAAGAAGAATGTTCAAATGCAATGAACTTTGAATATGAGACTTCGATTCCATGGAGTTGATCTCCATTGGAATACACTGTAATGATTGTTGAGAAGTCTTTGTGACTTTCTGCATAATCGCTACAAGAGGACCAATACATATAAGTTTAGAATCGAACAGATTTTGGTAAAAGGCATGAATTTGGAATTCTTGCATTGCCGCAAGGACTTGGGACTGTGAAATGAGAATCATTGGAGTTATATTTAATCGATCTATTTCACAATGTAAAGATCATAGACAAACTTGGAATGCATACTTGGA